GGGAAAAGTGGTTGACTACTACCGGCCTGAAACACCTAAATCAACACGAACACATAGCAAGACACTTTCTGAATCGTTATTCCTAGAACCTCTAGGCAGACCAGCCCCTATGAAACAAACTTGGCAGACGACTGCATGGCACTAGAAATGTGTGCGCAGCGCACATGTAGGTGTACCGCACCATAATCAGCTTTATCACATCTCAGGCTGACCATCAACTAGTCATGTCAATGGCATTCAACAGAGATCAACAGCACCCCAGCAGGTGGGACAACAGCAGTCAACAGCGATTCACCGTGGTCAACAGCGGTCAACAGCCGGTCAACGTCAGTCAATCGAGGTGAAAATGGCTTCTAGTCTCTCCACAGACGCATACAGCCGCCCCACATTCAGCCCTAAAATGGGCTCCCCTGTGCCCAGGGCCTCTGATGATGGGGGCAGGGACAGTGGAGGGGAGAGGTACAACAAGAGAGGGAAGGGACATAAGAGGAGAGAGAGGGCACACATTCAGCCCAAGAATGAGCTCCCCTGTGCCCAGGGTTCTGTAACAAGAACAGGAGCAAGGAGGATTATGAAAGGATGGAAGATGCAAAAGCACAGGGCAAGAAAGGACACAAAGGAAGCAAAAGCATGTCCCCTATACATCCTCACGCCTCACCCATGCATGTCCCCCATACATCCTCACGCCTCATCCATGCATGTCCCCCATACATCCTCACGACTCACCCATGGATGTCCCCCATACATCCTCACGACTCACCCATGCATGTCTGGCAGCACGTATTCAGCATTCCACCCCACCCCGCACGTCCATGCCCGGGCACACGGGCAGGTTGTGCTTATAACGAATCTCCGAGGGCGTGTTCCCATTCAGCACAGAGGTCAGTTTCCACTTCCACCACCGTTGCGTTGTGCCGAAAGTCATGCCCAATGCCCACCTGTGGGCGAGAGGAGAGGGGTGGGGAGAGAGAAGGGGAGCGAGAAGGGAGAAGGGGTGTGAAGTGAGGACTCTGGCCAATTTCCACTTCCACCCTGGATTCATGCCTGTTGCCCACCTATCCGGGGGAGAGATGGGGTGTGGGGAGGGCGAAGGGGGTGGAGAGAGAGAAGGGGGAGGGGAAGGGAGAAGGGGGATAAAGTGCTGAGCTTCCATTCCCACCCCATTGCTTTGTGCCTGAAGTTGTGCCCAATGCCCACCTGTGGGAGAGAAGGGAGAGAGAGGGTGTGAGGGATGAGGAAAGGGTGAGGGGTGAGAGAGGAGGGGGAAAGGCATGGGGGCTTGGAGGGTGGGGGTGAATAGGAGAGTTGAAGGCATGACATAACAACCCTGCAGGTGCCCATGTATCACAGCGAAAACTGGCCACACTACATCATACAGCACCGCATTGCACCACTCTGCACCCCACTGCACTGCACCACACCTGCAGGTTGAGCAGCCCCATGATGGGGATCTTGCGTGTGAGGAAGCGGATGTCTCCCCGCTGCGGCTCAAAAGTAGGTCTGCACATACAACCACCATGACCACACCCACCATAACCGCACCTGACCGCACCGCAACGCACAGCATCATACTGGATGGTATAGTACACCACCGCACGGCACCGCACTGCACACCTGCAGGCTGAGCAGCCCCATGATGGGGATTTTGCGTGTGAGGAAGCGGATGTCCCCCCGCTGCGGCTCAAAGATGGATATTCACTTGCAATCTGCGATGCTGGGTTTTAACACCAGCCACACCGCACCTGACCGCACTGCACCACACAGCACCGAACTGCACCATACAGTACTGCACTGTACCAACTAGCACCGCACTGCACACACCTGCAGGTTGAGCAGCCCCATAATGGGGATCTTGCGTGTGAGGAAGCGGATGTCTCCTCGCTGCGGCTCAAAGATGACCTTCCACTTGCGATCCGTGATGTTGGGCTTTAAGACCAGCTTCAGGTTCGCACTGTTGACCTGTTGAGAGAACAGGGTTGTAGAGGAGTGGGGCAGGAGGCATAGGAGTCAAAGATGACCTTCCACTTGGGGTCGGAGCTGTTGGGCTTTAAGACCAGCTTCAGGTTCGCACTGTTGACCTGTTGAGAGAACAGGGTTGTAGAGGAGTGGGGCAGGAGGCATAGGAGTCAAAGATGACCTTCCACTTGGGGTCGGAGCTGTTGGGCTTTAAGACTAGCGTAAGGTTTGCGCTGTTGACCTGTTGACTTGATAGAAAAAGGACGGAGCTGCTTGAGGGTTGTGGGCAGGCAGCAGCGGGTGGAGTGGAGGAGACGAAAAGATGACCTTCCACCCACTTGCAGTCGGCGATGCTGCGTTTTAACATCAGCTTCGGATTTTGAGAAAGGAAACGGATTGGGGGAACAGACGGACAGAAGAGGAATGATTTCACTTGCGTTCCGGGATGTTGGCGAGAGGGAGAGGGAGGAGATCTGAAAAGGGAGGGGGGCGGGGGCGGGGTTGACCTTGTGCCAGAGTTCCACGTTGGCCCCGAGCTTGTACTGCATGAAGCGCTGGCGGAACTTGAAGAACACCTCCTTGGAATTCCAGTCCCCCGCCCTCTCCCCTCCCCTTCCCAATCTCCCACCCAGAACCACTCACCTTCCCGCGCCCCTCCGCCCCTTAAATGCTCACCTGGAAGCCCCACAGGGAGAGAGGGTTGTGCTTGGGCGCAGGAGTTGCCTTGGGGAAGAGGGAGGCGGAAGAGAGCTGGGGGGGTGGGTACTCACTTAAATGCTCACCTGGAAGCCCCACAGGGACAGAGGGTTGTGCCTGGGCGCAACAGCAGGGGCCTTGGGGGAGAGAGAGGTGGTGGATAGCTGGGGAGGATCCAGCTTGCGCCTGAGTTCAATGTTCGCCCCGAGCTTGTACTGCATGAAGCGCTGGCGGAACTTGAAGAACACCTCCTTGGGCTTCCAGTCCACCTGGTACATCTCCCGCCACCACGCCCACGCCTCCTCCCCCTCCCCCTCCCCCTCCCCCGCCCCCGCCACGGATCCCCCTCCGCCCAAACTCCCCCTCCCCGCTCCCCACCCCGCTCCCCCTCCGCCTCCCCATCCGCCTCCGCCTCCTCCGCCTCCCCCGAGCGTCCCCCCGGATAGCCCCGAGGCGTCTGGCTCGTTGGAGTAGGAGGGGCTGATGCGCAGGGGTCCGCCCCTGCGCGCCCCCCCCTGCCCCGCCCCCTGCACCGCCTGCTACCCCAGGGTAATACTGCTGCTGCTGGGGAAGGTTAGGGTGGTGGGGTGCTGGTGTGGCTGCTGGTGTGGCTGCTGGTGTGGCTGCTGGTGTGGCTGCTGGTGGGGTTGGTGCTGATGGTGCTGGTGGTGGTGGTGGTGGTGGTGGTGGTGCTTCCCTCCTGATCCGCGGCTGCGAGACGAAGGGTAGGTTACGCCTGCAGATGCACCTGCAGCAGCAGCAGATGCACCTAAACCAGAAACACCTGCACCAGATGCACCTGCTCCAGGTACGGGATAGCCAGGCGGATTGGCAGTAGGCGTGTAACGAGGGTCTTCAGGCTGGAAAATACCCCACACGGGATGGGGTAAGCAGGAGAATGCCAACATTAGATAAGAGTAATCATGAAAATCTATGTAGAAACCCCGAGTGGTAGGAGGAGCAAGCATATATTTGAGGTGATAGGCTGGCCGGCTGAAATTGCCAGCAAAATGTGCCAGCTGGATGTGCCAGCTGGCCACATGTGCTTCACATGGATGAGGAGCGGCGGAAGGAGCAAAGGACGCACTTTTGTCTCCCCTAATCTCGAAAATTCTCATAATGTGTACAGGAAACTGCACTACTCTAACCACTTCATACTAAATAACTACGCCGCATTGAACCATTTCTTACCACATAGCTAGACGACGCGCCGGGTCCGCCAAACTGGCCATCCCGCGGGGTGGAGAAATGCACGTTGTCGTACGTCCGATCCCACTGCTCCCATCTGCGCCCTCCGTTCGCCATCGCCGTTGATCCAACGGCTGTCGACGCGCCGTACTGCGCTGGCGCGCCGCTTGGAGCTCCGGGAGCTCCCGAACCTGATGTGGAGGTTCGTACAGGATCCGCGCTGGGAAATGGAAAGCGACGTGTCAGCGGAAAACAGCGAAAGCGGGAGATACTAAGAAACGCAATAAGCTGAGAGTTGGCTTATAATAAATGACAATGCGTTATTGTTCGTCCGTGACGGTTCGTCCTTAACATTTCGTCGTTAACGGCTCGTCGTTCGCGGTTCGTCCTAACGAGGTCCTACTTATTAAGGTACCTCGATTTATCGCGGAACGAGTCTGCTCGGCTCTCCCAGATGGCCAGTCGGCGTCGCACGCCCCAGCTTCCGTCCGCCATGGCGACTAAGGGTCTCAGTCGGACAGTGACGACGCTTTCGCTACGCAGCGGGCGATTGAGAGCGTGCCGAAATAGCGGTAGGTGAGTGATGCACAATTAGTTGGAATGACAGGTACGTAAATGACCAGCGTAACCCGGCAATAGATAAGGCAATAGAATATTTATGGCAATGACCAGCTGCTGTACACGCAGCAGGCAGCGCACAGCAGGCATGCAGCAAGCTACGCGCCGCACAAGGTGATAAGTGGCTTTCTCGAGCTTCTAAACTGTTCAGTAGACGTGAAACGTGTCATGGGTTGATGTACCCGAAACACACTTCTTCGTACCACTCCAAACACCGTTACTCGAATTTTCAAAACCTCAGTGCCAGACCATTGATATCAGTAAGATTGACATTGATGTTGCCGCGCAGAACTCTAGTGTGCGCACTGCGCAGCCTTGATTGATATCCACAGGGGAAATTGCGCACGCGCAGAGGTAGGCTTGGCGCTAAGGAATGGTTGGCGGAGCGGATCTACTGCCGCGAGCGACAGAGCTCATCATCGCCCAAAGACCATGTCCAGCCTGCAGTAACGGATATCGCAAATCGCAAAACCTCGTAACAGTAGGAGTACCCAATCAATGAGGGTCCCTTGCCTGGGGAACTGACAAGACGACGCTCTGCGATTCATTGCTTTCCATCCCAAATCAAGCTAGGTTGGTCGTGGGCGCGTTTTGGAAAATAAGCGATGCAACGGCATCACCAGAGGAGTTCAAGGTCTCAGAAATCGACCTGAGGGCGTGTGTCCTTAAGGTCGAACTTTGGCAAGTCCGACTTTTGAAAGAGGTTCTACACGGTATAATACTTTACGAACATGTTTTTCCACGTTTCAAAGCGGGTAGTTCGAACTTTGACAATTTTGGGCCGAAGGACACACGCCCTGAATACAAGTGATGCGAATAGCTTCACCACGACATGTATGTTTCGATACTCTTTGTGAAACATTGAAACGAAGCATACGACCCCAAGGCTACATCACAAAACCAGATTCCAGGAGATTCCAACTTACCTCCCTAACCTAGCCATGCATGCGCCCATACAGGGCCACTATCTCCCATTCCAATCTGCACGCACCTCTGCACCTCTCTGCTCCATTTGTCATCCATTCCGCTCTCCGTTCACGGCTGCGTGCCGTACCACCGGCCGCCACTATATTTCCATACATCACCGACCTCATTCCGATCTCACTCCACCTGATCCAGCCGTTTGAATGTCTGCAGCCCGCATCCAGCGGATAGTTCCGGGGATTCAATCCCTTTTCCGCGCCTCCCCCGCCGATACTAGCTATTCCAGACTCCACCAATCGTGCTCTCTAGCCGCCAGTGTGGGTTTCAGCCCCTTTTCGTGTCGCCCGTCATCTGGCGCGTCGCCCGCGCTTTCCGAAACTCCAGCCGCCTCGTCGCCGCTTAGCGAAAGCCTCACCGCCGTTACCAGAGTCGCCCATCAGTTTCGCGATTCGAATCAAACCGTTCATTCTCTGAGCCGTTGCATTTCTGTTGCAGCTCGACACGACTCGCGCTGTTCTCCTACGCAAAGCGTCCCAGCGTCTCAAGCCGTCGTCTCCACGTGCACTCGAAGCTTCGCGGCAGCTGCGGCGTTCGGAATGGCGGCGCCCAAGGAGATCTCGTCCAATAAGATGTTCGGCGGCGTGAACAAGCGCTACGAGCACGAGAGCGCGATGCTCGGGTGCACCATGAAATTCTCAATCTTCTTCCCGCCCGCCGCTACCTCTTCGCGCGTCCCGGTATGCCCTTGAGTCTTTGCCTTCGTTCCTTCGTCCCGCTATCTCTCATCTCGTTACGAGCACGAGAGCGCGACCCTCGGGTGCACCATGAAATTCTCCATTTACTTCCCGCCCGCCGCTACCTCCTCGCGCGTCCCGGTGAGTTCGACTCGCTTTCTTTCGTTCATCTCCCTATCGTTCATCTCGCTACGAGAACGAGAGCGCGACCCTCGGGTGCACCATGAAATTCTCCATTTACTTCCCGCCCGCCGCCACCTCCTCGCGCGTCCCGGTACGAACCGATTGAACCCTCAGATCATCGTGCTTTCTCTCGTTCATCTGGCGGTGCACCATGAAATTTACCACCTACTTCCCGCCCGCAGCTACCTCCTCGCGCGTCCCGGTACAAAACCAACGAACTCTCAGTTGGTCATGGTTTCTTTCTCTCGTTCATTCGCTGGTGCAACGTGAAAATTACTATCTACTTCCCGCCCACCGCTACCTCCTCGCGCGTCCCGGTACGAACAAGCCTATAGAAATCTCACTTCGTTGCGCTTTGTTTCGTGCATCCCGTCCCGTCCTGTCACCTCGACCTTTGATTCGCCTCAAAAGTCGTCCATCCCGGCTTGTCACCTCGTCCATTGTCCCCACACACCCTCCCCACACACCCTCCCCACACACCCTCCCCACACACCCTCCCCACACACCCTCCCACACACCCTTCCACACACCCTCCCACTCACCCTCCCACACATCCTCCCACAGACCCTCACTCACACCCTCCCTCCCCACGCACGCTCCCACACACCCTTCCCACACACGCTCCTACACACTGTCCCACACACCCCTTCTCCTGCAGGTGTTCTACTGGCTTTCAGGTCTCACCTGTGCAGACGAGACTAGTCACCTATTCCCACTCCCCCAATCCCCAACTTTCCCACCCTCCTCTCTCCCTTCTCCCCCAACAGGTGATCTACTGGCTCTCAGGCCTCACCTGCACAGACGAGACTAGTCACCTATTCCCACTCCCCCAATCCCCAACTTTCCCACCCTCCTCTCTCCCTTCTCCCCCAACAGGTGATCTACTGGCTCTCAGGCCTCACCTGCACGGACGAGTGTTGAGCCGCCTGTTCCCACTCCCCACTCCCCCACCCTTTTTCTTCCCCTTACCTCTTGCTCCCTCCCCCCCAACAGGTGATCTACTGGCTCTCAGGCCTCACCTGCACGGACGAGTGTTGAGCCGCCTGTTCCCACTCCCCACTCCCCCACCCTTTTTCTTCCCCTTACCTCTTGCTCCCTCCCCCCCAACAGGTGATCTACTGGCTCTCAGGCCTCACCTGCACGGACGAGTGTTGAGCCGCCTGTTCCCACTCCCCACTCCCCCACCCTTTTTCTTCCCCTTACCTCTTGCTCCCTCCCCCCCAACAGGTGATCTACTGGCTCTCAGGCCTCACCTGCACGGACGAGTGTTGAGCCGCCTGTTCCCACTCCCCACTCCCCCACCCTTTTTCTTCCCCTTACCTCTTGCTCCCTCCCCCCCAACAGGTGATCTACTGGCTCTCAGGCCTCACCTGCACGGACGAGTGTTGAGCCGCCTGTTCCCACTCCCCACTCCCCCACCCTTTTTCTTCTCCCTTACCTCTTGCTCCCTCCCCCCCAACAGGTGATCTACTGGCTCTCAGGCCTCACCTGCACGGACGAGTGTTGAGCCGCCTGTTCCCACTCCCCACTCCCCCACCCTTTTTCTTCCCCTTACCTCTTGCTCCCTCCCCCCCAACAGGTGATCTACTGGCTCTCAGGCCTCACCTGCACGGACGAGTGTTGAGCCGCCTGTTCCCACTTCCCACTCCCCCACCCTTTTTCTTCCCCTTACCTCTTGCTCCCTCCCCCCCAACAGGTGATCTACTGGCTCTCAGGCCTCACCTGCACGGACGAGAACTTCATTCAGAAGTCGTTTGCGCAGAAATACGCCTCAGAGCACGGGGTCGCGCTCATTGTGCCCGACACCCGCCCCCGTAAGCTTTCCCAGCCCCTTCTCCTCAACCATCTCTATGCACGCGCCCGCCTGGCAATGCGCTCAAGCCTGCCTCAGAGCACGGAGTTGCGCTCATTGTGTCCGACACCTCGCCCCGCAAGCTATCTCCTTGCCCTGGGTGTAATAATGCCGAAAAGCCAAGTCTACCTCTGAGCACGTCCCATGGCGTGATATGTCAACTTCGTACTTGCTCTCATCGTCCCTGACATATCACCTCGCACCTCGCCCATAAACTGCCTCCACTACTTGAGCAGACTTTTGAGTCGACTCAAAAGTCTCGCCCATAAGCTGCCTCCACTCCTTGAGCAGCACGTGTCAGTATTGGACAGGTTGGCTGAAAGGTTTGGTTCTTGGGAAGCTTCATCAGTACAAGCTTGAATCTGAGCATCGTCCCTCACACACACCTCACCTCGCACCTCGCCCATACGCTGCCTCCTTGCCTTGAGCAATAAGCCCATTGTTTTGCCCAGAAATACGCAAATGCCACTCTGCTGTTTTTCTCAGACGCCTAAGTGGCGTAAGCTGCGTGACTCTCCACCATGGTTTTGCCCAGAAATACGCAAATGGCACTCTGTCTAAGGAGTGTTCAGATGGAAATGCTAGAGGATTGATGACCATGAATCAGAGAATTGACACTCTTTTAAATATAAATAAATATATATGTATAAATATGTATATATGTATATATGTATATAGATATATTTCTTTATTTACCTTAATCTGCTTCCCTTACTGGCGGAACGCCTACGGCCTTTTTCGCCTTTTTGTCAATATTTTTGCCCTTTTTACTTTCCCTGTGCAGGCGGGTTGAAGGTGGAGGGAGAATCGGACAACTGGGATTTCGGAGTGGGTGCCGGCTTTTATGTAAACGCCACGGTGCCCAAGTGGAAGAACTGGCAGATGTACGACTACGTCACTGAAGAGCTGCACCGGATCTTATCCGTGCACTACACTACACTACTCTGGACACTCATTGATTCATCTAAATCTGCTTCCCTCTCCGGCGCCACTCCTGCCCCTTTTGCCGTTCCGTTGTGTTTTATTTCCCTGGCCAGGCGGGTTGAAGGTGGAGGGGGAGTCGGACAATTGGGATTTCGGCGTGGGTGCGGGCTTTTATGTAAACGCCACGGTGCCCAAGTGGAAGAACTGGCAGATGTACGACTATGTCACTGAGGAGCTGCACCGGATTCTATCTGGTCACT